TAAAATGGTGATATAGTTAATAATGTTTCATATTCTTCAAAATTGCTAAGAGAGTAGATTTTGTGTTCTCATCACAAAAAAATAAGTATGTGAGGTAATGCATATGTTAATCAGCTAAATTTAGCCTTTCCACAATTTATACATATTTCAAAACATCACGTTGTACATGATAAAAATATGTGATTTTTACTTGTCAATTAAAAAAAACCCTTCTACTCTTCCAAAGATGGTGCTAAGAAAATGAAAAGACAAGGCACAGGTTGGGAGAAATTACTATATATATATATATATATATATACACACACACACACACACATATATATGTATATATATACATACATATATATACATATATATATATAGAGAGAGAGAGACTTGTATCCAGAATATATAAAGAACTCTTACAACTCAATAAGAAATAACCCAATTTTCAAATGGGTTAGTTAGACCAATATGAATAGATACTTCACCAGAGAGGAAATACGGGTGGCAAATAAGCACATAAAAAAATGCCCCACAATGACATTAGCCATTAGAGAGATGCATATTAAAACCACAGTGAGATACTACCACACACCTAATGGCTAAAATGCTGTTAAATAGATAATACCAAGGAGTGGTAAGATTGTAGAATGACTGGAACTCTCAGACATTGCTGGTAGGAGCACATAACAATACAACCATTTTGAAAAACAGTTAGCAATGTATTATAAAGTTAAATTACATACTTACCATACTACCCAGCAATCCTACTCCTAGGTATTTACCCGAGAGAAATTAAAACGTATGTCCACACAAAGATCTATAAGTGAAATCATAGAGCTGTATTTGTAATAGCCAAAAACTAGACACCCAAACGTCCACCAACTGGTGAATGGTGCATCCATACAATGGTGTATTACTCAGTATTAAAAAGGAATGAACTCCTGCAACAACACAGATGAATCTCAAATGCATTATGATAAGCAAAAGAAGCCAAGCTCAAAAGGCTGCATACAGCATGAGTCCATTCATATGACATTCTAGAAAAGGCAAAACTACAGGGACAGAAATCAGATCAGCAGCTGATCGGGGCTGGGGGTAGAAGAAGGGTATTGACTACAAAGCAGCACATGGGAACTTTTTGAAGTGATTAAAATATTCTATATTTTGATTGAGATAGTGGTTACATGATGGCATGCATCTGTAAATTCTCATCTAACTATATCCCTAAAAAGTGTGAATTTTATGGTGTGTAAATTATTATACCTTAATTAATCTAAATTTAAAATAAAATAATCCTTTAAATATGCTACCAAAACCTGAAAGCTGTTTCTTGGGTGGGGGGAAGTTTGGTATAAAAGAAAAAGCACGGACTTGGGAGTGGGCCAGACCAAACTCCAGGTCTATACTCATCAGTCACCACCTAACTGGGCAAGTTACTTAACCTCTCAGGGTGATCTTAGCAAAGCAGGATATGAGTAGCGCTGACCTATTAATGTGATGACTTAATGAGATTACATACAATCTGATAATCCTCAAAGTGATAGTTCCACTCAGCACACCCCTTAATCTCAACCCCACAGTGGGGATCTCCCCCTTAATTTAAGTGCTCAAACAATGGTGACAAAAGTATAGTTTAAGAAGAAGGTTGGACAATATAAACCCCAATGAGGCAAAGACCAGCAATACTTTTTTTTTCTTCCTTCAACAGATTCAAAGAAAGTCACGGCTCCCATTGCCTGCAGAAGGCCAGGTGCCCAGGAATCTAAACATTTTCATTCTGAAAATAAATTGGTCCTAAGAAATACAGGTGACGGACTGATTCTGGCCCCCTGAAAGAGGGGTTGAATTCTTTCTCAACTACAGACTCAATACCTGGGGTAGGGTGCTGGGTCCCTGCTTTGCTAAGATTACTCTGAGAGGTTAAATAACTTGCCCGGTTAAGTACTGGCTGATGGGTACAGAGCTGGAGTTTGGTGGATCCCACTCCCAAGTCTGTGCTTTTTCTTTTATACCAAACTGACCTATTAATGTGATGACTTAATGAGATTATATACAATCTGATAATCCCCAAAGTGATAGTTTGGGGTAGGGGGCTGGGGGAGTGGCTCCCAGCACGCTTAGTCCAGGTTCAAAGTGGGCTTTGATTTTTAAAACTGTCTTTTTGTTGGTATATGTGGTAAGAGCTAGATGTGGAGTCCAGAGAAGGAGAGATCCCTGGGTATGGTCTCTACACAAAGAATCTGGGTTAGCTCTGAACATTTCCTTAGCTCCAGACTACACTCCTCAGGCAAAGATGTCATTACCCTGATAGCATATAAGATGAAAACCATGGTTTCCAAAGAGAAAAGTCACCAAGACACAAGACCAGCTAAAAACCCAGGAAAATAAGGCTTTTCCACATTAAAAAAACAGTGCACCTTAGAATCAACATTCTCAAGACACAGTGCTTGGGGGAGCACAACAAAAGTGGTGCTCACATCAATAGGGAGAGAAGGAAATTAATTAGCAAAATAACTTTGGGACAACTGGCTCATCACTGGCAATACAAATAAAGCCAAATCTCCACCCTCACTCCTTATAGTAAAACAAATTCTAATGCATCAAAGATTCAAACGTAAAACAGAAATTTAAAAAATACTCGAGGAAAATGTATGGGCATTTAAAAAACTAGTCTCAAGAGTAAAGAAAACAGTTCTAAACATGACACAAAACCCAAACTATAAAGCAAAAGGTAGATCAATTTGACTACTTAAAAACTGTTTTTTGGGCTTAAAAAATTATCATAAACAAGTTAAGAGCCAAACTGCAAACGAAGAAAAAAATATTTGAAATGCATAAATACAAAGCCCTAAACTCTTTTATGTATAAAGGGCCCTTAGAAACTGTTAATAAAAAAATGTACAATTCAAAAGAAAAATAGGCAAAGGACAGGAACAGAGAATTCCCCAAAAAGGAAATGCAAATGCCAATAATTACATGAAACCAAGATTAATCTCACTCATGATTAAAGAAATGCAAACTAAAAAAGGATGCTATCTTTGAATGAATATTTGACACAGAAATGTTTATAATACAAAAGAATGCCAATTACTTCAAATCCCATCAGTAGGGATGGGATTAAATACTATTAAATACATAGTGGTATATAAATACAATTAAATACTATGTACCCATTACAATTTAAATGATTATATCACCCATACTGGTAACATTAAAATCTGTAGCGTATGGTTGAGTGGGGAGGAAATATTTCAATTTGTATGGCAAGATTCCATTTAACTAAATGTGTACATTTTTTATCTATTTGTGCACAAGTGCACAGATATATGTTTGCAAGAAAATTTACCAAAATGGTAGCCATGATTGACCCTGGGAGAAATTTCAGGTGACTTTCACTTTATTTCAAAATTGCAGTATTCTTTTACTGATGTGCAACAAGTAAATACTCCTATAATTAAAGGAAGCTAGGTTATTTTCATTTTGAAAAATATGAAGACATTTCCACATAACATTTCCACAAGACAAACAGCATCAGCATGCAGTGAGGCGAATGGCCAGACAGACCCAGGCCCGGCCTGTGCTGCACCTTCTAAACAATACCGGGCACCGTGAGGCAGATGGGGCAGGAAGGCACTCTCAGGTTTGCACAGGTGAAGCCAGGTGCAGGATGGTATGGTCTCAGGGAACAGGTTTGGGGGTGAGAAAGACTCAACTCAAAACGCCAGTTCGACCACATTAGCTGTGCTGACCTTGGGCAAGTCACTTAACTTTTCTGAATCTCAGTTCACTCTTTTGTAGAACTAGGATAATAACTATCTCTATCTTATAATGTTTTTGAGAAGATTAAATAAGATATATGCATGTGATACGCTCAGCTCAGTGCTTGGCACACAGTGAGCACCCAAAAAAGGTTAGCTGCTTATATTATTATCTGGGACACTTGAGACATGTGGTCACATTGCAACCACTATCCTCTCCGTGATCCAGGGTCATGGAACACAGTGGAAGGAAGGAACTGCAAATCTTGGAGAACCTCAACATCTGGTCTTGAGCAACATCATGCTTCTCTACCCCTGGTGAAGCCTTCCTGAAAGCAGCAGGAAGGAGGGTGGCAGCCAGCTGGAAAGAGGAGGAGGAGGGCAAAGCAAGGGCTAAATAACTTCCTGGTGCTGCCTACTTGGTATCAATGAGCCAACACCACTACTCCCTGCTCTCCTCCCACCTTTCCTCCTGGGTCGACTGGGACCTTCCCCAGACGTCGGTATGTTGGAATCCTAGAGACTATGTTGATGCCAAACCAGCAGGGACTTTGGGGATCGTGAATGCAGCAGCCTTCAGTGTTCACATAAGGGGCCTGAGGGTTACAGAGGAGAGGGGACTTGCCAGGTATCAAAGCACCCAGTGCCCAGCATAGGCTCTCGGTCATGGGGTTCCCTCCTACATTCATCCGTCCCCTCCCCTGGCTGCTCCCTCACAAGTTCTCATGTCCCTCATTTTTTTCCCCTGTTTCATTCTTCCATTATCTGTCAGACTCCTCAAGGCCCTTTTCTCCTCTGGCATCCCCAACTGTCCTTTACTCCTTCCCTGTGGCGAGGAAAGGAACCAGACTGGGATTGTTCTGACTCAGAGAATGGACTGGAAGGAGGAGGACTGTTATGGGCATCACTCAGTGAAACCAGCATAGCCATTCCTCTGCTTCTAATAGAAAGAAAGCACAAAGCATGGTGTGAGATGAGAAGGCAGGCATGGGGACGGGGAGCTCTGAGTTATTCTCAACCTCACTGGTGACAATGGAGGTTACCTTGAAAGTCTTAGGAAACTCTTAGGAAAGGAAGACCCCAGAAGAGAGAGGTACCAGCAGACTCAAGAGGAACCAGCAGACTCCAGCTCTTAAGTCGTAAATGCAACCAAGATGCAGGGCAGCCACAGGTGAGGAAAGACGTGGAGGCAGGACCGGAAGGCCACCTGCCCAGGACACAGCCCCTACGCTCAGCAGTGACTGGACTGGGACTTACCTTGGGAAGGCTGACTGGAGTCCTGGGCTTGGTCCTTGGGTTCTTAATCAAGAGCCTCTGATCCAGAGGGAGCAAATGGTATTTCATGGCCTCGATGAGGAAGTCTTTACAGGTGTTGTTATTCTTTATCAAAGCTTCTTCTTCAACCGTCTGGAGGTAATGACCCACAGGTGATCCTGGAGCAGAGCTCAGCCACACTTCCCAAGCTCTCTCCCTGGGCTGAGTCATTCCTGCACTCCCACACTCATTCGTTTCCATACCTCATCATCTCAGACCCAAAGAGAAAGATCCACAGAATTACAACTCAGTGCTCACCTCCTGCATTTCAAGAGCACAGTGGGGTAAGTGATCAAGCTCTGGCATCAGAGATTCAAATCCCAGATCTACCACTTAACATCTCTGATCCTCAGTTTCCTCATCTGTAAAATGGGCATATTAAAGGTATCTACAACCTTAGTAGTTTGTTTGTTTTTGAAGCTTAAATGAGTTTATATAAAACAAAAGACAAGTAATTGTCCTGAAAGCCACTTCCCACATTCCTCCTGATTTGAGTGCATTATAATGTTTAGGGGAAATGGTTAGAAATCTGAGAGGAGGAGAGGGAGGGAAAGAGGAATGGGCATGGATCTATCAGCAAACCTTTGGAGGCATTGAGTAACATAAGGTGGTCAAGGAGAAGGATTCATATCTATTGTCTTATGGGCCAGTGAAGCTCTTCCTAACCGAGAAGCAACATCAGAGCAGAAAAAACGTCCATCACAAAGTCTCACCTGCTGACCTCACCTTGTACCCCACCTAATCTGGGACTCTAGCTTCCTCACCTCTTATTCCAGAGCTCGGGACCTAAACAGGTGCTCAGCAAATGTCAGCCTAAGTGTTCCATGAGCAAGGGCAAGGGTAAAGCCATTCTGATGCTCTCTCAGCTCTCCACCCTTTGGGCCAGGCCGGATCACATTGTGACACATCTGGAATGAGCAATGTGGTCTCCTGAGGCCACTTCGTGTTGGGAAAGATCAATTCTATTCAAGAGCTAATGCTGATTGACTGTCTTCTGGCTGGGCAGCCCTGTGCTGGCCCCCACGACGAAAACGATGAACAAGACAAGGATTCTGACCCTGAAGAACTCAAGTCCAGTCAGAGAGTGAGAAGGGTCTCCCACCCCAATTATCTCAGCCCTCAAGCCAGTCACGTACAAGGCCTTGTTAAGCCTCTCCAGTCTCCCCATCTGTCACTAGAAATAAAAACATGGCCAGGGCCATCACCGGCTGGGCAGCACTGGAGCTGGCAGGCAAAGGAGGATTGGTGAGATAAGGCCACTGCCACCTCTGAGCACCTCCTTCCCCAGAGACAGTCCCCAGGAACACTCCGATTCCATAGAAGGTTTTTTTTTTACCCTCCCACCAGGGCACTGAGCCAGGTGGAGACAAATCATAAATTTTTAGGGTCCATTAAAAAATAAAAGGGTGGGGGAGGATATCTAGAAAATCTTGGGAAAAAGGAGAAATGCACAAAAAACTTATTCAACTTGGATGAAAAGCTCTCCTGGACAGTTCGTGCTTCGTGGGTGCAGAGCTTCAAGTTACGGTGATGAAAAAGTTTTAGAAATTGATACAGTTAATGCTCATACAGCATCATAAATGCAATTAATGCCACTGAATTGTACAATTCAATTGCACAAAGTTTATAATTTTATCACAATATAGCATGTTACACATTTAGTACAATATTTTTAAATGCTTAGTAAAAGTCTAATAAATGTTAGTTATTGCAAAAAAAAATAAATAAATAAAAACAAAGTCCCCCCAAAAGTTAGGCAGTGTTGGTCCAGGTCCGCCCACAGCCTTCCCTTCCTCCCCCTCTTCCTCCACCACTATCACCATCCCCAGCAGGCTATACTACTTTAAAGTTCAAGGTCAAATGAATATTAATGAAATATCCTCTTCCAGAGGCGTTCACTCTGGGATGCCTGATAAAAGCTGTTTAAAAAAAAAAAATGGAGGGGACCCACATAAATAGTTCTCATGTCCATTGCCTCTGGACCCCTTCTTTTCCAGATCTGAATCCTACTTTACTTTGCCATAATAAGCCTAGGAACCCTTTCCTATGGGTTAAGGTTGTTACATTTCAGCAGTAAGTGCCCGATGGAGTTTGTGACCAAGGGTCTGTGAAGGCCCCTTTAGCTTTCCCTGGAAGTCAGGTCCCCAAGCCACCACCCTCCCCGTGGAAGCGAGACCACACTGGAGGCCGGTCACCTACCTCCACCTTGAGGCAGTTTCCCACAGGACAGTGGGAGGTTTGACGCTGGGAGCTCTGGTTAGGGGACCTTTTCTACAGGAAGGATATGCTGCCACCAGGTGGCAGTGGCACCACCCCTGCAGCATGCAGGGCCTGGCTTGCCAATGTACTCCTCAGCGCCTGAGCAGAAGGCTGAAGGACAGAGATTCAGAGACCATTTCACTGACCCCTTAGGCCTGTGATCAATCAACAGTGTCACGAGCAGAAGAGTTTACAAGTGCTCATGAGGGTACTATGTCACCCACGACTGCCACTCACAGCAGCAGTCACAAAGACAGTAGTAACATCAGTGACATTCACTGAACATGGTGTTATAGGCTTTGCACAGATTATCTCATTTTATCCTCAAACAATCCTGTAAGGATGGTGTGCTATTTTTACCAGATGAGAAAACTGAGGTTTAAAAGGGTTAAGAAAGTGCCCGATGGCTGGGGAATAACAGAGCTGGGCAGCCGGGTGGTGAAGCCTCCTCTCCTATTCCTGCACCACACCCTCGCTTCCTTCCAGAGACCCCTCGGGGACAGCTGAGGGACGGCCTACTGTTCTAGTGTCTTATTTTGGTCATATATTTTAAAGTTTATCTTTCGCCTGCTTGCAAAAGTGCCTAATTCCATTTCCTACATAAAAGAAATCATGTCATGGGTAAACAGAACAGAGAGCAATGAAGATGGCACTAGCTTAGTGGAAGAAGCGCGTACTTCAGAGCCAGACGCACGTGCATCTGAATCCTACCCTCTCTCACACTGGCTGGTGACCCCAGACAAACCCCAACCTCCATAAGCCTCGAGGCCCACATTTCTGAAAAATGGGTTACAATCTTTGCCTCCCAGGGTTATTTTAAGAATTCAGTGAGAAAGCATGTGGCACCACAAGGGCACCCCAAAATTCTTCATTGTTCTTTCCTTTTCCGAGGAAGAGGAGCACTACATATTCCATATTCCATATGAGGAATTATTTTTTGCAGTCCTGAATGGGGCTCCAAGTTGCCTAAAACTAAGACCAAAAGGGAACACAGAAACATTATGAAAACAACTCTTCTTGCATGGTCCTCTACAGTAAAAGAAGCTCACTGAACACGGGTTATGCCAGGGTCTGTGCTAAACAGCTAACTTGCCTATTCATACTGCCTTAGTCTCCACTACAACCCTGCTGGACTCTGTTATCACATCTGTTCTATGGAAAAAGAACTGAGGTTTGAAGAGATTAAATAAAAACTCAAAGCTAATAAGCAGTAGAGCAGGGACTGAAACCCAAGTGTCTTATTCTCATACCTATGCTCTTAAACTTTATGTCACCAACCCTCACACTAACCCAGTGGGTTATGCCCTCCACCCACACAGAAGACCCATTAAATTCCTCAACCACTGCACACAGCCGGGGTGGCCCTGCTAGTCCTTAGAGGCCTGGGTGGACAGGGGAGTGCTTTGTTCTGCACGCAGCACTCACCTGAACTAGGTAATCCCTGGGTAGGAGAGGGAGTCGTACGTGTTCCATCAGCTTTGCCATGTGCTCTAAACGGGTCTCTTTCTCATAATTGATCCATGAAATCACAGCTTCAAACACCTGTAAAGAAAAGCAACCCAGGTACTTTAGCAAAGAGACAAAAGCTTTCAAACAACTCTCAATCTGTAAAAAAGGGGAAAAAGTGGCAAGTCATCTACAAAGGTATTTGATTAACCTAAGATTCAATATTTAAAATAAAGCAAAAACAAAAAGGCTTATAGTTTTACTAGCTGGCTTTAGAGAGTGATCGCACACACACACAATGACGAGGCTGCTATCCCAAATGTAGAATCATCATAACTCATTCTAAAATAAAAAGTGGTTCTAGTAGTTGTTTAAGGTTAGAAATACAAAACAGTAACTGTGAAACAAATTTATAAAGACTGCTTAAGAGACTCACACCCAGGGGGCAATGTTGCCACCCTCTCAGGCCCCCCTTTCCTCATTCATCTTCTTTATACAGTTGATGCAGAATAAAAATAATAAGAATGCCCTCTGTTTGCAGCAGGCTATGATGGTGAATGTGACACCGAGTGACAGAGAATGGCACAAACTTCTCCTTGTGTTTAACCTCTTCATTTCTATGCAAATCAAAACTGGACGCTTTGGAACCAAAAAAACCAGGGCTTATGGTTTGAATGTTCACTCTACTCAAGGGTAAGTCCAAATTCAAACTCTGTGCCACCATATACACACAGACAGATGGAACTCAATATTGGTGAGGCCCTGGGAAAACTTAGCAATACTTATAAAAAGTTAATTAATATAGCTTTTTAAGAGGGGAGGGAAAGCTTTGGCAAGATCAATCAGAACTTTAAGTATGCATACTTTGACCTAGAAATACCACGTCTGGAGCTCTAGCTTACAAAAATGCGTATGTGCACAATAATATACGTTCTAAGATATTTGCTGCGGTATTGTTGTAACAGGATAACAAAGGAAATGACCTAAAGCCCAATAATGGAGAAATTATTAAAACAGTATCCATACCATTAGATACAGTCATCATCCCTCAGTATCCGTGGGGCACTGGTTCCAGGACCATCCACAAATACCAAAATCTGCTGATGCTCAAGTCCCTTATACAAAATTGCATAGTATTTGTACAGGGGCTAAAGTATCCAGTCATTGTTAATATGTTTTTCATATTACATGGCTGGATACTTTCCAGACAGCCCTCATATATAACCCACGCACATCCTCCTATATACTTTGAATCATCTCTAGATTACTTATAATACCTAATACAATGCCTGTACATCACTTCATCCACATGAGTTCAATGTAGTATTTGAAATGCAGAAAATTCAAAATTTGCTTTTTGGAACTCTGTATAATATTTTCAATCCCTGGTTGGTTGAATTCACAGATGTGGAACCCACAAATACAGAGGGACAACAATCCTATTTTTAGCTGTTAAAAAGAATTTGGGTACAAACGCCTTCTTTGTACCCAAAAGAAAGAAAGTGCTCACAAATTGAGGACATGTCAGAAGGACACAGAGCCAACCCCATGGGGCTTTCATTGCCAATATTTGGGACAATTTAAACATCAAAGAGAATAATGAAGAAAGAAATCAGATCAGCACTGCTTCAGGGGGAGGGAGGTCAGGGAATGACTCGGAAAAGACCAAGGCAAACTTTTTGTGGTTTAGGGTGGGCATGACATGGGGATATACATTTGTCCAAAGTAATCAAATTATACCCTCAACCTTTGTCTATTTCACTATATATAAATCATACCTCAATACAAAATATTATTTTTTTTAAAAAATGCGATATATCATAACACAAAACCAAAAAATCCATGAGTCCATAAGGATACTAAAAAAAGTATCAGAGGGTCTCTTTTTACAAAAAAAATGCCAGCTAATAAACATAGAATGATAGGAATAGGAAAACACCATTTTGCAACCAACAATGTAATAACTGATCCAACAAAGATCACCAACGGACGCTAAAATCAAAAGTTGTTAAGAAACAAGATACGCACAGTTTTCAAAGTATCACCCCACAGGTCACATATTACTTACTTACATGGGGAGGGGAGGAAATTACCTAAAGCCCAGTAATGGAGAAATTATTAAAGAGTATCCATACCATTAGATACAGGCATCATCCCTCAGTACCCGTGGGGCACTGGTTCCAGGACCATCCACAAATACCAAAATCTGCTGATGCTACTCTCAAATAGGGAGATCTGACAGACACCACCTTAAACAAGGGATCAAATTTAACATTACCAATAACAGGACAAATTTATATTATATTCCTGACTGCGATTTAATGGGAAAGACACAGCATCCCCAATGTAGTATTCTTCCTGAAAGGTTTAACCTGAATCTTGTCTGAGGGAAACACTCAGACAACTCTATGTTTGGAACATTCTACAAGAGGGCTGGACTGGATTTTTCAAAACTGTCCATGTTATTATGAAAGACACCCCAAAAAGCTAGACAGTTCTAGATGAAGGGGATTTATAGACATGACGACTAAATGCAATGCAGGCCGGGAGCGGTGGCTCACACCTGTAATCCTAGCACTCTGGGAGGCTGAGGCGGGCAGATCGTTTGAGTTCAGGAGTTTGAAACCAGCCTGAGCAAGAGTGAGACCCCTATAGTAGAGACACCATTTAACCCCCCTCTCTACTATAAATACAAAGAAATTAATTGACCAACTAATATATATAGAAAAAAACAAAATTAGCCGGGCATGGTGGTACATGCCTGTAGTCCCAGCTACTCAGGAGGCTGTGGCAGGAGGATTGCTTGAGCCCAGGAGCTTGAGGTTGCTGTGAGCTAGGCTGATGCCATGGCACTCTAGCTGGGGCAACAAAGTGAGACTCTGTCTCAGTCAATCAATCAATCAATGCAATGTAATGTAATGCAATGCAATGCAAAATATGAACCTTGATTAGATTACAGATCTAAAAGAGCTACAAAGGACTTTTTTGGGACTACTAAGAAAATTTGAATAACCAATATATTACATAATATTGCTATATCCAATGTTAAATATCTTTGGTATGATGATGGTTTTATGGCTAGAAAAGAGAATTTCCTTGTTCTTAGGAGATGCATGCTAAAATATTTAGGGGTAAAGTGTCATGATGTTTGCAATTGACTGTCAAATGGTTTGGCAGAATGAATGATTAAATCTGTAGAGAGAGAGAAAGCAAATGAAGCAAAATGTTGAGTCTAAACAAAGAGTATGTGGATGTTCATTCTTTTAAACTTTACTATAAGCTTTTAATTTTTCAAAATAAAAAGTGGAGAGGAAAAGAAAAGAAATTCTACGTGAAAAGGAAAAAAAAACTACAACAAAATTTACAAGATGGCAGAAAACTGAAATGAAAGCTTTATCTGCCAGGGGAGAAAGAAACACTCCAATTTTTCTTAACCTGATCATGTTTTTTGTGTGTTGATACATTAACAATGCTTTACCCCTAAAATACTCGGTCCTATTACCTAAATATATCCTTAAGTCAGGTTGGGCATAACTTGAATTTGGCAAGAAAACCAATTAGAAAAGGAAGGGAATGGAATGGAATAGGGCAGAACAAAAGGAAAGGAGCAGTATGTATGTATAGTTTGCTCCCATTTCTGTATCAAATAACCTGTATATACACAAACATAAGCAAACAAACACACACCACAGAAATTCTCCTTGTCTGGGTCATTTTTTTTATTGTAAACTCTGATAGAGCTATGTTCCTCACCCCCATAGCATGTTTTACAAATGATTGTATTTCTTCTACTAGCCCATAAGATCCATGAGAACAGGGACCTTTTCTTATTTGATGGCACATACTACAAACTCAGACTAAATGAATGCATGGGGAATTAGTTCAGAATAAGCATGGAAGGAGGTGGGAGGAAACTGCCTAGGCTGAAGCAGAGAGTGGGGCTAGGGAGGGGAGGGCTGGAATCTCGGCGGTAGGGCAGAGTCAAAGGCTGATGAAGAAGCCTGGCTTTCCTGGGTTAGCTGGTGAGCAGCCACAGTCCGTACTGCTTTGTATGTGGTTATCCAGCCTCCTCCTACTGCCCTTTCCTCGAATGTGAGCTCTTGCCAGTTGAGAAGTGCACCTGCTGTCTTGGCACCTTCTCCTCTGCTGCCTAACATAGCACCAGGTGGTTGACTGAAAAAGTTTTCCTGGAGAATGAACTACAAGTCCTTCAAGTGGATAAGATTTATTGATCACATTCTTCTTCCATCAATCAGCTTGATTTTTTGTTATAAAAGCTAAAAAGCAAGCTGAGTCTACTAAAGTCGATATTTAACCTTATCTTTATTTTTGGCTTGACTTGTCTAACTGGTTCCGCTTAGTTGCACTGTTTACCTACTCAGCTGTGAAAGCCACAGCACTCGGCAACCATGGTGACCTTCTCAGCAGCTAGAGAAGGCCACATATTTTTTCATTTAGATTTCATGCTTGAAAAATAAACAAGCAAATAAGCTTCTGACTAGCTTTAGCCTTCAATGCACCTAAAACCCTTCCCAACAGCACCTCCCATCAAGGGACTCTTCATAGACATCACCTCCCTGAATTCTCAAGATAACTCATAGATTCTCTTATCCCTTATCAAGTGACTTGCTCAAGTACCAGAGTTGAAAGGAAGCAGAGCTGGGCTCCACACAAACCCAATTCCAATGCTCATGCTCTTGCTCATTATTCTTAGCTGCCTCTCAAATGCCTAATAACAGCGGCTTGCAGACGACAGCCCACAGGCCAAATCCAGCCTGCCACCTGTTTTTGTAAATAAAATTTTGTTGGAAGACAGCCATGTTCACTCATTTACATATTGTCTATGGCTGTTGTCACACTGCGATAGCAGAGCTGAGAAGCCATAACCTGCAAAGCCTAAAATATTGACTACCTGGTCCTTCATAGGAAAAGTGTGTCAACCCCTGGTCTATAAAATCCAAGCAGAGACCCTGGGGCTTCCACCATGGGACAGGGTGACGTCTACTCAGATGAGAGCACTTTTTGTGATGAAATAATCTGCCCACAGGCACACATAGGGTTTCACTTTTCAGCGAAGCAATAGCATCATATCCTCC